TATTTTTTGCACATGTTAAGTTATACATACACTCACACGCATGTTAAGTGTAAATTGAACGCATATTAGAGCAACAATTCCCGATAGACATGTACTTGTTGGCATTGGAAATAAGTGACAAGTCAATTTCGATGTCAGCAATCTTCTAAAGTTGACTGGTCATTCAATACGTAAAAAAAACTCACCAATTGATTTGTTTTTTTTTTATCGGGTCTAAGTCAGTGAATATACAATCTCATGCACATTAAGAATGAAAGACGCGCATAATAACGTGTTAACGTCCGCATTTTAGTGAATATAAATTGAAGCACATTATTTTAAGATTAAGAATACCCCGTCGCACATTGTTATATTAATAGACGCATTTTAAATTATTTTGCTCCATATATTAATTTATTAGACATACATACGCATTCTAACAATGGAAAGGTATTTAAAAATAGAAGAAAAATATTTCAATATATCAAAGATAAATTAAAAATGGAAAAAAATAAAAAATATTTGAATAATAATAGAAAACAGATTCTGCAATGGTTGCGTTTTATTAGGCGTCGAATAAGCAATTAACTAAACGGTTAACATTGAATTTCTGCAATCGGTGAATTTTACCAAGTTATTCATCTATAAAAGTGGAGTATCACCTTACCATACAGCATACATATTGAAACCGTGTCATTTTAGTTTTACAGACCATCATTCATTCTTCGTCATTTTCTTCACATTCATTAGGATGTTTACCCATCCTCATCATACTCGCCCTCCTTCTACTTGTTTGTCAATGTAGTTGATTACAATAACAACACATTCTAAACATCCCATGGATCAAATACTATATCTCAACCCTGGAAGTTTATACGAGGATGTAAAGGAACTATTAGCGGAGCCGACATCATTTGAGTAGAGCACATGTTATCGTTGTTTTCATCTAAAGCAACACATTTTAAGCCTAAAAGGATCTTCTTCTGTGGATCTAAATGCTAACTGATTTGGATATTCAATTTAGAGATCAACTTTGGCTGTAAGTTGAATATAACATGTGGGGCAGTCCAATACATCTGGATCAGTTAGATTTTAGATTCATAGAAGTCAATCTTTTCAGGTTTATAATGTGTTGTTTTAGCCCAGACATGCGGCAAGATCCTCTACTCCATTTGGAGATATATCTTTTGGTACCTTAATGCAGGCTTAACCAAAAGGAATATCTCTAAAAGGTATAGACAGATCCTGTCGTTTGCCTGGTTTTGTTTTTTTTTTTTTTTTTTGTTATTAAAAGCAAGCTCTCATGTCCGCCTCTGTAGCAGTAGCAGTTCAAAGTGTAAATTATTTCAATGTAAATAATAAATCTTTCTGCATTTTATTCATTTTTTTCTTTTGGGTTGTTTTTGATAATGGTTAAATAAACTAGCAAATCCGAGTACTATTAGAGTAAAATCAATGGACGTTATGTAATTTTGGATCTTAATAGTTTCGTGTTACATGATAATTTAATAGAAAAATTCAAGCACATTAAGATTTTTTTCAAGGAAATATAAGATATAAAAAAAAAACGCACATTAAGACCAAATTCTACGCATATTACTATGTCCGGAAAACAACATCCAGACTCACGTATTTTCTAATGCACATTATGTTACTGTATTGCGCATGTTAAGCTTTTTTGTATTTGACACGGACTATAGTTTTAATACATAATGCAACACACATTTTGTTGCCGTATTATGCATCTTGAGCGTACGTATTGCATTTTAAATATATTCTTTTTTTTTTCTTTTTGTTTGTTTTTAATTTACAGGAATTGTTGCTTAATATTTTTCATATAATCAAAGTAATGGATGAGCCCACTGGCGAAATGGTAGAAGTCTTTGATTAAACTAATTCCACCCAGGATTAAACCCTTATAAAGACTTGATCTTTTTATTATATTTTACTTGTTTTTTGTTTAATAAAATATAATAAACACATCTTAGACTGATATTTCGCGCACTTTAATTGGTTACCCGACGCACATTAAACTTTTGGCTTTAAAAAAACTTTTATTTCGATGCAAATTAATTAAATGTATATTAACACGCATGTTGTTCTTGTAGCTCGCGCATGTAACAGAGCAAAGCAAAGCACATTAAGTCTTTTATACCAATCCACGTAATATTCAAAGATATTTGATGTCAAAACTTTAAGGCATTGGTAGTTTGGGAAACGGATAACATTGAATGGTCATTCAATGCCTTAAAAAACGCACCCATTAAAGAAAATCTTGAAAAATCTAATGTGTCTGTCAATCACGCAACATTCAAATCTCAAATCAGTGCATGTGACCAAGTCATTCCCCTATAAATTAGAAGGAACAACACACAACTGAGCATCAGGTTATTGAAATGGCTATCTCTCACGTTTCTGCACGTACAGAAGAATCCTCCTCATTTATTCCTCATCTTCTATGTCATTTTCATCTTCCTCGCCCTCCAGCTTGTAGTGATTGTAACTAACTACAAAAACAACACATTCTAAACCTAAAGCATCATTCGTCATTCTCAGCTTCAAGCTCATCATCTAGCTTCCAAACATGATCCAAGGCTGAGAGTTTAGCATTGTGGCAGTCTGGCGGTGTGTCGGATGCTGCCAGAACCAGAAGAGATGTCTTCAAAGTACTAGAAGAAATAAATATGTGCAAATTATTTCATAATCAAACAAACGTACTTTAAGTTTTGCAATCGCGCATATTAGACTTATTTTTAACGCATCCTATATTAACTAATAAATAAACGCATATTAAAAAAAGAAAGTGTTAAACATTGTCTTTGTACGCATATTAAGCTTTAATGTCGCGCAAGTTAAATTTTAATCGACGCATGTAAAGACTTTCGCATTTACCACGGACCAAATTTTTATACATAAACCAACGCACAATCGGTTTCTGTATTACGCATATTAAGCTTTAATGGAGCGCACGTTAAAAGGGTAATCAATGCATATTAAGAATTAACTGCTCGCAGGTAAAGTATTAATGACACGCAGTTTAAATTATTTTTCTCCATATATTAAGTTATACATACATACGCATTCTAACAATGGAAAGGATTTAAAAATGGAAGAAAAATATTTCAATATATCAAAGATAAATTAAAAACGGAAAAAAAAATTAAAATATTGAAAAATATTTCAATATATCATACGCACATTTTGTTGCCGTATTACACATATTGGGCGTACGTGTTGCACATGTTAAGCTTTTTGTTAGTTTTTAATTTCCAGGAATTGTTGTTTAATATTTTTCATATAATCAAAGTAATGGATAAGCCCATTGGTGAAATGGTAAAAGTCTTTGATAAAACTAATTTTGCCTAAGATCGAACCCCCATAAAGACTTGATTTTTTTTATTATATTTTATTTGTTTTTTATTTAATAAAATATAAGAAACTCATCTTAAAGTGATATTTCGCGCACTTTAATTGGTTTCCAGACGCACTTTAAACTTTTGGCTTTAAAAAATCTCTTATTTCGATGCAAATTAACTAAATGTATATTTACACGCATGTTGTTCTTGTAGCTCGCGCATGTAACAGAGCAAAGCAAAGCACATTAAGTCTTTTATACCAATCCGTCTTTACGTAATACTCAAAGATATTTGATGTCAGAACTTTAAGGCATTTGTAGTTGGGAAAACGGATAACATTGAATGGTCATTCAATGCCTTAAAAAACGCACCCATTAAAGAAAATCTTGAAAAATCTAATGTGTCTGTAAATCACGCAACATTCAAATCTCTAATCAGTGCATGTGACCAAGTCATTCGCCTATAAATTGGAAGGAACAACACACAACTGAGCATCAGGTTATTGAAATGGCTATCTCTCACGTTTCTGCACGTATAGAAGAACCATCTTCATTTATTCCCTATCTTCTATGCCCTTTTCATTTTCCTCGCCCTCCAGCTTGTAGTGATTGTAACTAACTACAAAAACAACACATTCTAAACCTGAAACATTATTCGTCAATCTCAGCTGCAAGCTCATCATGTTGTAACCAAACATCATCCAAAGGCTGAGCTGAGCATTGTGGTAGGCTGGCGGTGTGTCGGATGCTGCCAGAACCAGAAGAGATGTCTTCAAAGTACTAGAAGAAATAAATATGTGGCAATCGGTTATGTATGTACCATTTTATCTGCAAATTATTTCATAATCAAACAAACGCACTTTAAGTTTTGCAATCGCGCATATTAGACTTATTTTTAACCATCCTATATTAACTAATAAATAAACGCATATTAGAAAAAGAAGGTGTTAAACATTGTCTTTGTCCAGATTACGCATATTAAGCTTTAATGTCGTGCAAGTTAAATGTTAATCGATGCATGTAAAGACTTTGGCATTTACCACGGACCAAAGTTTCTATACATAAACCAACGCACATTCTGTTTCCGTATTACGCATATTAAGCTTTAATGTAGCGCACGTTAAAAGTGTAATCAACGCATATTAAGAATTATCTGCACGCAGGTAAAGTATTAATGACACGCACTTTAAGCTAGTAGCAGTGATTGTTAAACACAAATCGGTGATAAAAACAAAAACTAGTAATAGCTGAACATTAAATTCAAGTATCTCAACTGTAAAAAGCATTCTGAAATGAGTTAACTAAGTATTTGTGTTTCATATTTGCTATCTATTTTCGTTCTCGACAGTAAAGGCGTTGTAAAAATAGTCTGTTATGCCTTTTTCTTACACTTTTGTTTGTCCTTATTTTTGGGGTTAAGTGGGCAAGTCCTGGTGTCATGTTGATCTCCTCTAACACAACAAAAATTGCACCTCCTGCTCTTTTCTTTTTCCATTGCCAACTCCTTGTTGCTTTTGATACGTTTGCCGCTGCCCTTGTTCTTTGCATGTTTCGGTGGAAGTATATTGATCTCTGAAATCTCTGTTGATCCACAAAAGGATTCTATAACAGTCTTCCTGTTGTGCTGAGGGGATAACTTTTCTTTTCCTGACATTAGCAGCTGTTTCTATTCATTAATCACTTGCGAAAATGCAGCCAATTGCTCCATGTTTGAACCTGCTAGATCAATACAACAGTGTACATCTGCCCACAGTTTGTTCAACACCATCTTCTTTTCATCTTTTGGTCCATTCTGATCATAAATGACACCATCTATTTCAAATGTAGCCTTTAAAGATGCATCCTTAGTCCAACGATTAACCACATACCTCAGAGGGATCGTTTCAAGGTCTCTAAAGACCACAAATATGTGTCTACACAACAGTCCAACCATCTCAAACATCTTGCAACTGCATTTGGCCTCATGGTCATTTACACTGTGCACCACAGTAAATATTTTGTTCTTTCCATCCATAATATCATAGTGCAACATTCCACTATCTTCTCTAACACTCAACACTATACATTTGAAACAGGAGGCACATATTTCTTCCTGAACTTGATAGAAAACAGTAATGGTGTAGACGATTGAAGCGTGTTTTTCGATCCCTAGAGGCGTCTTCATATCTGGATTGTAGCCTTCATTGTCACTGTTGAGCTTTGCGTTTGTGTTACGTTGTGATTTAAGAGCACTGTCAAAGTTCATCATGAATTCAACTATGCTAGACTGTGGGCCAGTAAAACGGCTGTACGTGTAGTTCTCGCTTTCGGAACGAGACGTTGTCCTGAGTAGACCCCCCATAAAGTCATCTCTAAAATAGGTTGGGATCCAATGGTTTCTAGCCTCAAACATAGTTGTAAACCAATTGTGTTCGGCTAAGTTGTACTTTTCAATGAGCTCTCTCCACTGTTTCTCAAAATCAGGAGGTTCCAAAGATGACATCCAAACGATTGAGTTCAGTTTGTTCTTGAACTCCTCATTCTTGTTCAACGTAGGACCCACCTTTTCCCCAACTTTACACATAATGTGCCACATGCAGTAGCGATGCCTGGCTTGCTTGAAAACTCTTGGAATTGCCACTTTCATAGCTGGATCTTAATCGGTGACAATTATTCTTGGTTCCATACCCATTGCCTTTTTAAATTTCTCAAAGAGCCAAACATAAGACTCAATGTCTTCTTTCAACAATAGTCCAGCGCTAAATGTTATACATTTTTTATGGTTATCAACTCCGGTGAAGGGTGTAAAAACCAGATCGTACCTACAAGACAAAAAGCGTCATCACAGTATACAGGTGTCAAACTGGCGCACTTAGAGCATTAGCATGACGCACATTAAGTCTTAAAATCGCAGACACATGTACTTGAAGTCTAATTCTGGATGTTACTCATTAATATGCGCGACATTAGTGTTTAAGATGCGTGGTATAAAGCGACAATGTGCGCTTACTTATATTACAATTCTTTTCAAGTAAGTAGTGAACCTGTCTAAATCTTAACCTGGCTCAACATATCAGGCAATGCTTAATGTGAACTAATTAATGAAACGCACGCAAGAATGTGAATAGAATAATACTTGTTGGTTGAATATGTGGCATCAAAAGAGACAACATCTCCAAATGCAGCAAAATTCTTTTTTGACATTGGATCTGCCCAAAACAGTCTACTCATCTGCTCATCTTCATCAACTTCATAGTCAAAAGCAAATGTAGGGCACATCTCTTGTTCTTTAATAAGATTATGCACGAGTATTTGTGCATCAGCACCCAATATGTATGCTCTGAGATTCCTTCTGACATTTTTAAAGTCCACTACAGTTGCCCCAACTTCAGAGTAATCCCCCACAATCTGACTGTATAAACCGTGTGATTTTGATGCTCCAATATTTTCCTTAGCACAATCTAGTATAAACTTCTAATGAAAACTGGAGATGTTTCTATTTCCTTTTAGGAACTGCCTTGCAAGAACAGAAGACATGATGTGATTGTGTTTTTCAATAAATGTCTTAACTTGGTACCCAGCTGCTCCAATGTACTTAAAAATAATCCTAGCTCTGCAACTAGTTCTGTTTGAAACCCTCCGCCGCTTTGGACGCGAAGGACCTTCCCCCGCATCTGCAGTTGGTTTTGAGTGACAATGTTGAGCACGCGTATTCTTAAATCCCTCTCTATTGCAAACGATTTGCTTTTGAATTTTCGTCCCGTCGCGTGCTGTAGTGAAGGAACTAGACCTCGTGTCAAACCCGACTTTGGCAGCATAATTGTTGTAGAATTCAATACCGGCATCCAATATTTTAAAAATCATGTCAACCGCTGGTTTGATTTCATCTTCACAGTGTGGAGTCCAATACTGCGTCATTCCAGGAGATATGGTCAATGTATAACCGTTGCTGCTGCTGCTGGGGCTCAAACTGGGGTTGTTCAGAGATTGCAAGTCACTGGGAACTGTAACACATAAGCATGAAGTTATTATTGCGTTGTTGTAAGCCTCTACGTGCGTAGTGTGAATACTTAATATGCGTTAATTTAATTAGATCATTGTCAATATGTCAGGTTTATAAAATACAAGAGTACATGCGTCAGGTGAGCACTTAACATGCGTCAGGTTAATAGTTAGGGTGCGTATGTTGAACAGTTAACATGCGTAAGTGTTTTTTAAAATGTTAGGCCATTAGTTAACGTGCATCAGTGAGTCCATTAACATTAACATGCGTCTGGAAAGCAATGAACGTGCGTGTGTTTAACAGATAACATGCGTAAGGGTTCTTTAAAATTTTACACCGGCAATTAACCTGCATCAGTGAAAACTGTAATATGTTCATCTGTAAAAATTAACATGCGGCTACCTAATCATCTATGTGTGTAAGTCTTTAGGCTCGGAATAATTAAATTAGGTCAGTAATGCAGTTGTTAAGTTGCATGCATGTAGTTTTTTAATGTGCGTGTAATTAAGACAAGAAGGAGGCCAATACAAGAGCAGATAAAATTAATTCCAAATAAGCGATAAAATTTGTGTAATATACCTTGATCGAATTCTTCCATTCTTGATCGGTTCATGTTGTTGCTGGGTTTAGGTTTTCGTTTGAAGAATAAGCTATTGAACGATGAAGAGAATAGATTTTATTGCCAATTTTGTAGAGATTGCAAAATCGTCTGAGATTAGGAAATATCGGAGATTAGAAATCAATGGAGAATTTTGAAAACGCGCAAAGAAGAAGAAGATCAGTAATTTTGAATTTTTTTTAATATAATCAAAAGGACCAAAATGCCCTTAATGAGCAATTCGCGTTTATATTTTGCTGATAATCTTATTCGTTGGATCAACTGCTACGTAAGGCTTAGATTCAATCTCATTTCTCACGGAAAGGACTAAATGCACGCGAGCCCTTCCATATATATATATATATATATATATATATATATATATATATATATATATATATAACTAGGCCACTGGGTAATCGATCAGATAGAAAACGTTTATGGACGCATCACAAGACACATTACACATACATGCAACAAAAATACATGTCAGTCGAGGCGGTACAGAAAATGAAACCTAGCTAGAAGAAACAACTTTTTTAAAATTATTTGGTTCAAGTCGTCATTTACCAAATAGTTGAAAATTTAACTCCAAATTGATTATTGGAGTTGACAAGAATATTAGCATAAATTAATATATTTCATATCACAATAATGATCTACAACACATTTCATTCGTAAAATAATTAAAATTAGTAATGTCCCGTGCGATGCACAGACTATTATTAATTTAACAAATTTACCAATTAAATTTTTGACATCCTCTAAATTAGCAAAGAAAGTAATGGTTGTCGAAACATGAAAACGTACTTGAATTCTTAGCTTAGAATTAATTTTATTAAAAATGTAAGTATAACTATACATGTAATATTTATTAATTTTTCAGTGTTAATTTTTATTTGTACATACCCGTGAATCTCTCCACAAAATAAACACAAAGATAACCTCACTGTCTGGAAAATCAAGGAGGCTGATCGGACCATCTACAACTTCATTGCCGGATATTCTATCTACGATGTATGCGAACATGGAAAGCGAAAAGATCAACCGAACAAATGGCTCCAGATCCAAGTAAGCAAGATTTGTTTATGATATTTACTCCTGATCAGCATGCATGTGCCTTTCTAGTATAAAGAGAACTGTTTTACAAATATGGTATAGATGGTGCAGAATCGAGACACATATCCAAAGCAAAACCGGAACATGGTGCAAATCAAATATAATAAAAGATAAACAAAGTAGCAAAAAAAGATGGTAATGTAGCAGTAACACACCTGATCATGAAACACACATTCTTGCCTTCTAATTTTATTTTTCTCTCCTGGTTTCAGTGACAACATAGTTCCGCACCCTAATCGCCTTTGTGGTCTGCTGAGTATGAAGCTGGGCACCCATAATAAACTGCCTGGACATCTTCTTTCTTGATCTCAGAAATATGTAATTTGTTTTTTTTTTTTTTTTAGTTTCCATTTGAATAAAGGCTGAAGTCTCAAAACATGTATCTTGTAGTCCGTACAACAGTCCCATACCCTGCTTTGTTGAAACCACACGCTTCCTATCAAGAAGCATGTGTGGGTGGATACGCAAACAGACTATAGGCCACTCCCTACAAATATGTAGGCGTGACCATGGTTCCGGTTCCGGTTCGGAACCGCCGGTTTCGGTTCCGTGGATGGCGAAACCGGAACCGGAACCTTATAGTAAGGTTCCAGTTCTGGTTCCGGTTCAAAACCGGCGGTTCCGGTTGGAACCGCTGGTTCTAACCGGAATTATTAAAAAAAAAATTAAAAACACTATAATATTTAATTTTTTCGGTTTGGAACCGGAACCGCCGGTTCCGGTTCCTTTTCATCTCAAACCGTAACCGGAACCATATTGGTTCCGGTTAGGAACTGGAACCAAAACCGTACGGACGGTTCGGTTCCGGTTCCGATTCAACAGTGCACGGTTCGGTTCGAACCGTCTGGTTCGAACCGAACCGTGGTCACCCCTACAAATATGGCCTGACAACATACGCTTCGAACAACCAATTTAAAAAAATAAATAAATAAATAAGAATGACGTCATTAAGGATAGGCCAGAATAGATGAATTTGATTGGCCTTCCACTCACACAAAAGAAAAAAAAAAAAGTGAAACAGAAAAGACGTTGTCGTTTTTCAAGAGCGGGAAAAAATATTTTTTTTATTTACAAAAAATGTTTGGCTTTATTATAATAGAGGATTTGATAAAATTACTAAATAAAAATAGAAAATTTATGAGGTGTTTGGTAGCTAGGATGAGAGCTAATAGAGTTGTGTATTGAATGAATACAACGTACAGATTATAGGTATATATAAGAAGGAAGTCTCAGAGAGACTGGAATAGGGAATCATAATCAAACTCAAATACATAGAGTCCTAATACTCCCCCTCAAACATAAGGTACGCTGATGACTTGTAGCTTGTCCCTAAGAAACGAAAACCGAGTGATCCTTGGTTGAAATAAAGTTAACCTATATATCACCATTCGCAACTCTGTCTCTAACAAAATGGTAGTCAATTTCTATATGCTTGGTTCTAGCATGAAAAATAGGGTTTGCACACATATATGTAGCTCCAAGATTATCACACCAAAGATTGGGAGCGGGCACATCGGTTATGCCGATTTCTCGTAGAAGCGAGACAGTCCAGATTACCTGGGCACAGACATCTGCTAAAGCTTTATACTTGGTTTCAGTAGATTATCTAGCAACAGTCTGTTGTTTCTTGCATACCCACTGGTTGATTTACGATCTTCAGGACAGCCAGCCCAATCAGAATCTAAGAAAGCATGTAATTCTCTGGATACTGATCGCCGAATTCACAAACCAGAAGTGATAGTTCCCTTTACATACCTTAGAACACGCTTCAATTGCTCCCAATGCGAGACTGTAAGCGCATGCATGTGCTGACACAGCTGATTTACTACAAAGGACGAGTATGGGCAGTAATTGTAAGATAATGTAAAGCACCTGCCAGACTTCTATAGTGTGTGGCGTCGTCATATAAATCAGCATTGGAGATAGTGTATTTAGAAGCAGACATAAGAGTGGCTAGAGGTTTACAGTATGTCATGCCAGCACGTTTTAAGATATCTGTTATGTATCTTTGTTGAGAGAGCAAATTTCCATCCTTACACTTGATTGTTTCAATCCCTAGGAAGAAACCAGGTTTACCAAGATCCCTAATCTTGAATGCAGATGATAGAACAGTTAGAAGGGAGTTGATAAGACCTTGATCATTGCCCATTACAAGAATGTCATCAACATAAACAAGAACATAAACGAAACCTGAACCCTGTGAGTAGTAAAACAAAGATACATCTGTTTTTGAATCTTTAAAACCAGCTGCCAATCAAGAAGGTATGTAAGCGATTAAACCAAGCTCTGGGGTTTGTTTTAATCCATATAGGGAACGTTTCAATAGACAAACATGATTGGGAAATTTTTTATCAATGTATCCCGGTGGTTGCTTCATATAGACAGTCTTAGATAAAAGACCCATTCAAGAAAGCATTATGCACATCAAGCTGTTTGATAACCCAACCAGAGGATATAGCCAAAGATATAAGTAACCTGATAGTAGTCGGTTTGACCACTGGGCTGAAGGTATAAAAAAAATCTTGATCGGGTACCTGATTAAATCTTTTTGCTACCAATCTTGCTTTGTATCGATCGATTGTCCCATCAGCTTTCCTTTTGGTGTGAAAAACCCATTTACACCCAATAATATTCATATTAGACTGAGATGGGACAAGATACCAGGTTTTATTAAGAAGGAGCGCATTAAATTCATCATCCATAGCCTTGCGATATTCATCAGGTTTAATAGCGTGTGTATAACAAGTAGGTTCAGTGGGAAAAACCTGGGCTGATAAAGCCAAGAGAGGACCATCAGCGTGACTACGAGTGGCCATAGAGTGAGTCTGAACCGTGGGGAGCAACGACCGACCTCTCGGTCGGCCACGGTGTCGCTGAGCGGCAGTAGGTTCGGTGTCCGCCGAGGGCCCATCCTGGGCCGGTTCTGGCTGGCTAGATTCGCTGCTGGTCGGGACCGGTTCAAGCGAGACCGGTTGAGCCGAGACGGACGATGAAGTTGGAACAAGAACAGACTCAACCCATGGTTGAGTCGTTTGAACTAGTGGTGCCTACAAAACTGTCTTGCATAAAGGAAAAACATTCTCATCAAACCGAACATGCCTGCATATATATACCTTGTTAGTCCGAAGGTCCATGCACCTATAGCCCCTAAATGACTCAGGATAGCCTAGGAAAACACATGGAAAAGACCCACATCTTATGACGATTGTAGAGATGCAAATAAGGATAACACAGACAACCAAAGACAAGAAGAAAAGAATAGGATGGAGGGGATTTATGTAATAGAAGATGAGGACTGAATTTATGTGTCACAGCGGATGGCATTTTATTAATTAAATAAACCATAGTCTCAAAAGCATAATCCCAAAACTTAGAAGGAATTGAGGCACGACTTAAGAGAGCTAGACCAGTTTCAACAATGTGTCTATGGTTTCTTTCGATCCGACCATTTTGTTCATGAGTATACGCACATTACTATCTATGAAGAATGCCTAACTGAGCCAAGGTTCTGTGTAAATTTTTATATTCAGCTCCTAGATCAAACTGAATGGATTTAATTTTGCGATTGAATGAACGTTCAATCATAGCCCGAAACTTATCAAAGATAGCATAGAGATCAGGCTTTTGTGACATAAGAAAGTACCAAGTGTAACGAGAGTAGTCATCAACAAATATAACGAAATAACGATATCCATTAGTAGAAAGAATAGGAACAGGTCCTCAAATGTCTGTGTAAATTAAATCAAGGACACACGAACTAGACGACTCAACACGCGATAAGGGAAACCGTTCAGATTTCCCTAACTGGCATGCATTACATAGACTGGAAGAACAATGAATATTACTGCTAGACCCACTAACCGAACAAGACGAAAGAATTTGACTGAGAACTCGTTGATGAGGATGACCAAGACGATCATACCACACAGATGCTGAAGCTCTAGCCGAGAGAAACGCAGTTGGTGACGAACTCGGAATGGGAAGCTTGTAAAGCCCCCCAGAACTATTACCCCGTAGAAGAATTTCCTTGCTGTTGATATGCTTCACAACAAAAAAAAAGATGGGTGAAACTCAAAGAACACCATATTATCTTATGTAAATTTTTGAACAGACAATAGAGATGTAGACAAACTAGGAACATGAAGGATATTAGACAAGTGAAAAGATCTAGATGGGGAATTAAATGTAGCATGACCAATACGACTAATAGGTAATCTCATACCATCACCGACGTAATGTGTCATTACCATTGTAGTCATCCGAGAAGGAGAGAGCAGCCATATCCGGAGTGGCATGATCGGTAACACCTGAAATAAGATTCTCAAGTTTTTAACAATTTTACATACACATGAAAATAATTATAGATGCATTCTAAATCCAAAATAATCAATAGTTGCATCAGTACTTTCATAAATAAAAATTATAATTTATAAAAATAAATAAATAATTTAGAACCAAATGAACTTATAAACAATGACATTATTTTATAAAAAATAATAAAGTAATTATTGATAACAATTTATAAAACAAAACTTACAAATAAGAACATAGCATAAAATCTTAATTATTGAGAGAAATAAATCAAAACAATTAGTGACAAAAGATATTCATAATAAAATATGAAACATAATTAATTGGATAAAATAGTTTGATTAAAAAACACATAATAAACCACACTTCTTCTATATTAATATCATATTTATAAGGCAGAACTGTCAAATAGGTCTATCTACTACTGTGAAGTGCTCAATTCCCACCACGAACTAAATTAAATGTCAAATAGGCTCATCTACCAACTAAATTTGTTTGATTGACTATTTTTACAGGTTACTAACAGGTTGCCTATTCAATTATTAATATATATATATATATATATATATATATATATATATATATATATATATATATATATATATATATATATATATAATGCATCCAAGGAAGGCGATCCGTCTTATGCGTTTTTCTGCCAGTGCAAACCCAACTCCCATCCTTATCAACATGTACAGATCCTGAGACATTCTTGACTGAGATTACTGCAACTTCCCTGAATGCATTAGGCAATGAGGGTTTAGTAGAAAACCAAATGACTCCAAAGTTAGAAATTGGAACAAGCATTTGATACATCAGTCTTCATCTACCAAGCACCCGAATTTTGAAAAGCTCAAACAATATCAGGCGTTTTAAATTCTAATGTTTGTGTGTCCACTTTCATGTGATGAAAAGCTAGTATGACACCAGTAATTGCAGTAGCAGCTAATAGACAATAAAGAAGATGTAAAGTGTAAAGTGATAAGCTTTCATGAAAGGAAGTAAGAAAAGACACCGTTGAGTAACGAGAACGAGATCAATACTCCGGCGTGACCCGGAATCAGCATCCGAAATTTGGAGCCCTACGAAAACCGTACTGCAAATCAACAAGCAAAGTGACAACATTAAGAGTTGGTGACGCACCATTGATTTGAATTTTTATTTTTTTTTAATAATTGAATAGGCAACCTGCTAGTAACCTGTAAAAAAAGTTAAACGAACAAATTTAGCTGGTAGATGGGCCTATTTGACACTTAATTTAGTTCATGGTAGAAATTGAGCATTTCGCAGTAGTAGATGGGCATATTTGACACTTCTACCTATTTATAAATATTTTTTTAGTTAGATTAATTTCATTTTTTTTTAAAATTAATTTTTTTTTTTGGAACGTAAAGGAGGGATAAACCCAAAAACAACTAAGAAAACTAAGCGCCATTCGGCCTGCTCAAGCATGGACGATAGAACTTCTAAACTACATATTCTAAATATAAGTAATAAATTACTTGGATAGAAATAAATTCAATATTTGATATGAATCACAAATCAATTTATATTATAAATTTACTATAATTATAAAAAGGTAAATGTTCGTCCTGAAAGGGTGGCGAGAAGTCTAGAGGAGGGGTGAATAGACTTCTCTAACTTTTCAAACTTTCTTCGAAAACACACAAGGCAAATAACACTTTGGTAATTTCAACTCTAAGTAACAAGCATCAACAAGATAAACAACTTAGAGTGCACAACGGAATAGATAGCGGTAAAGTGTTATGCTTAATTATGCAATGCTCAAAGAGAGATTCTAAACATGCAACACGTTAGAAACACTTGATATGGTTCAAAAATGATGTACGTAAAGTTGGACTTGCATGCAAACGTGGGAGCTATCAAACCCAGACCGATAAAGGTATGCAATAAATCGTAATCGGGTTAGTTCGCAGTTAGAATAAGCATGCACAAAATATATGAGCAGTAAGTAAATAGAGAGGGAGATTTATAGTGGTTCGGAGATGGTGTAATTCTCCTAGTCCACTCTTCTCTTTTCACTTCAAGGAGGAAATTCACTATTCTTCGATCACCCAGATACAATAGTGAATAAGTGTCCACCGACACTTCTCCGAGTGCTTCGCACAAAGCTACACTCCTCCAAGGTTTTTCGCAAGCTCCTCTTGTTACTCCGCCTTCCCGAGTACTTCGCACCAAGCTGTACTCCTACACCACGAGAACTACGCACAAAGCTACGCTCTCACAGGGTTTTCACAAACTCCGATCCCCTTGTTACTCTGCCCTTTACACCGAGTTCTACGCACAAAGCTACACTCAACCAGGGTTTTTCACTCTCTCTAGTTACTCCGCCCTCTTTCTACACTCAGTAGAGAATGTTACAAAGAGATAAAATTTTTCTCTCACTCAGACTTGAATTTAATCGTGTATAGCTCAATATATTGCTTTTTGGCTGATTTGAATATTGCTTGCTTTTGTCTTGCTTGTATATCTTTTAATTGATCAGCGGTGTTTGTCTTCAAATCTGCTTGGGCAATTTATAGCCAATGAAAGCTATTTGCCCGTTGATCAACTTTCGATCTCGACCGTCCATTTCGAATTGTAGTTGATCAAATAATATTATCAACTTGATCTGAAATATTAGGTAGAAGTCTTTTCTCCTTTTGTCAGATGATTTGAATATTTTGCCCATTGTTGTGTCTTGAATTTTGTAGCCTCCAAAATTTGAATAAGTTCGGCGCGGCAAGCTTGATTTTTTCTTGTCCTTCATAAATGCTCTGACATGTCAAGTTGATCAAATAATTCATCTGCTCATTCTTGCTTGAGTATGAAGTAATATCTCCGTGAATCAGCCTCCTTCGAGCGTCTCCGGTTCCACCGTAAAAGATTGATGTTCAGATGAAAATATATCAGTTATTTTCTCCTTCATGATCCTTGTAGAATGATATACTGGAACCTTCTGTAAAAACTTCATAGTTGTTCATGGTGAGATGCTCTGTTTCGATTTTGCACTTGGTCCACCATACTTGGTGTGTTTCTTCATCAGTGCATGGCTTTTGTGAGACTTGTGCATTTGACTTGGTTGGTCTCCCTTTTTCTAGTCTCCAACTTGGTTAGTCTCCTCCTTAGCTAATCTCCATCTTGGTTAGTCTCCCAAGCTAGCTAGTCTCCTTCATGGTTAGTCTCCCAAGCTAGCTAGTCTCCTTCTTGGTTAGTCTCCCAAGCTAGCTAGTCTCCTTCATGGTTAGTCTCCCAAGCTAGCTAGTCTCCATCTTGGTTAGTCTCCCAAGCTAGCTAGTCTCCATCTTGGTTAGTCTCCCAAGCTAGCTAGTCTCCTTCATGGGGTTTGTCTCCCAAGCTAGCTAGTCTCCTTCATGGGGTTAGTCTCCATTTCTAGCTAGTCTCCTTCATGGGGTTAGTCTCCCAAGCTAGCTAGTCTCCTTCATGGGGTTAGTCTCCCAAGCTAGCTAGTCTCCATTTCTCCCAAGCTAGCTAGTCTCCTCCATGGGGTTAGTCTCCCAAGCTAGCTAGTCTCCTTCATGGGGTTAGTCTCCCAAGCTAGCTAGTCTCCTTCATGGGGTTAGTCTCCCAAGCTAGCTAGTCTCCATTGAGGTTAGTCTCCAAGCTAGCTAATCTCCATTTTGGGTTAGTCTCCCATACGGTACTGGTTAGTCTCCCATACGGTACTGGTTAGTCTCCCATACGGTACTGGTTAGTCTCCTATACGGTATAGCTAGTCTCCCATACGGTTTAGCCTAGCTTATACGCGTATCATCCAACTCCTCTAGCATGGTTCTTGGTGACTTATCCGAATCATAATTATGTTAAACTATAATCCCGCTTAACTCCTTCAAATAAATTATGATCTTCCAGACTTGTACATGGGTTGCACGATATGGGTGCACCATACTCTGAAGACTCAAACTGACTCAAATAGAATAAAATTGGGGACTACTTGACTTTTCAAAAATACATTCGGCTCATCAAAATTTACAATTTATTCCTAACAATTTCCCCCTTTTTGATGATGCCAAAACTTATACCCAAGTCATTTTGGCTTTGTCAATTTTGAAAAATAATTTCTTTTAATTGTTTTTATTTCGACTAGCCAATTGACGGGTTTAACAAAAACTGAGACTTAGAGATTTTAACATTGGACAATCCTAAACGTATACTTGAGACTTTGATCGTGGGGTTTGCATCTTTCTTTTTAGCTTGAATTCTTCTTCCCCCTAAATTTTATATTCTCATTTTATACGTGTTACAAATTAGCTCTAGGTCCAAATTAAAATTTTGTAACATACTAAACACAAATAAAATAAAATAGCTAAGACACACTAGATAGGTATGGTACCAATTTTAGTGATGCAAAGTCAACCCATTTAGCTTAGCATAAATAACGTACCAAAAGAGATAATGTGCTAGCTAAATATCATGTTCACCAAAAATATGGAATTTGTCAAGCAAATTTTACCTTTCTCTTAATTTAGCATTGATGTGAGCCCTCAATTTCTTGAAGTCCTTCTCGAGGCCCTTGTGTTGAAATGGTGATGCAACTTGTCCGGTTACGTAGTTACCGTAAGCTTCTCTTATGTTATCTCCTTTCAACACGCCTGCTTCATGCCAAAATATGCACTCATCGAATGTACGGTCATCGCTCATTTGTTCACTCCGATGTCCCAACTCGGTTTGAAGCTCTTGCAATTTTTATATCCTTGTGGCAATAGGCTTCGGCATTGGTGCATTTGGTGTGGGTGGCAACACATCATGAGGGGTTGAGCTTGAGCTAGGGAAAGTACCTCTAAGATAATCTATCATGCTCACATGGCCTCTACCTCAACCTCTTGTTGTTGTTGGTCGAATGAGTTCCACCAATGGTCCTCTTGGTTGTGGAGCTCTCGGCTGTGATGATGCATATGCATACGCTTGTGGTACAAAATGACTTGCCAATCCTTCCCCCTTTTCGGCAACATTAACAAACTTTTGAAAGCTCTCCGAGGAAGAATTTTGTTTGTCTCGAACTCCTTCAAGAATATCCATATTGATGTGAGTTTGTTGTAGAAGTCCCTTCATTTGTTGCTCCAATAGCTTGAGCCTTGAGACTGTTTCGGACCCAAGCTTTCCCATTTCAACAAACAATTTCATAACTTCATTCTTCAACTCCTCCTTTGCCGTATCAATCTCATTTTTCAATAGGCCTTGCCTATTGAACAATTGCAAAGCACGGTCAACCATGTCTTTATGATAGCCATCAAGCTTGTTGTCCATGGCATCCATCTTGGTGTTTAACCCTCTTGTGGACTCTTGAAGAATTACCTTGACATCTCCAACAATCTCCTTCCGTAAGGATTGAACATTGAATAATGTTTCGACTTGTATTGAGGGTGTTGGATTCGGCAATGTGTGAGTAAAATCATCTTGAGGAGTAGTAAGCATTATCTCGGCAAGATTTGGCTCGGCCTCCTCGTTGTTGTAACAAAGCATCAAGGTGCTACGATTCCTTGGATGATCTTGGTCATAGAACTCACAAGTAGTTGGCAAGCTAGGCAAATTTTGTGCTTCATCCAAACTTAAAGAAATTTGATGGCTTGGTGCACTCACATTGTCTTGAATTGATCTCGTAACCTCCGTTGCGGGATGAGGAAAGCAAGACTCATAACTCAAATTTTCATCTCCATAAGTAGCAGGATACGGGTCCAACTCCGGCAATCCTCCATCATCAATTCGTGCCATAGATCCTTCTCCGGGTGCCCTTCGAATTTCTTCCATTGAATTGATAGTTGCCAAGGCGGATTTCATTAGGATCAAACTCTCCAATCGGCACTTCGGATGCGGCTTCAACAACTACATTTTTCTCGATCCTTTTCTTTCTTGCAAGCTTGGTCATGAAACAAGAATTGATTACCGATAAACGGGTGGCTCGGGCAAGATCACGTGTACCTAGCGAACTCAATACAAGTTCCTCCCTTTCCAAGGTGTTTGGCCCAATTGTTTCAACCAACTTGTTGTGATCTCCCAACCTCCAAGCTCTCTAAGCTAGTGCACGCTCA